CCCCGGGTAGTTTTCCGGCAGAAGCGGGGAAGGTGGGCGAAGAATGGCGTGTGCCTTTAGTCACATGTATGCATTTGCATTTCTCAGCCGTATCATGCCCACAGCTTCGGGTCGACGTGTGAACAATTTCCCCCATTTAAAAAAAACAAGCTTAAACCCCATAATTTAAAAAAAAAAAGTCTATCCTACAAGCTGGTACCAGCACAGACAAAGCATCCCCCTTCACACAGGTGGAAAGGACTATGTACCTGCCTCAGGTCACCGCCATGACACAGCGATGGGCAAGATCCACATCAGGGCAAGTTTTAGGACCAGCCCGTGCTGTAATAACACGGCTTGCAGCACACACAGGGCCTAGAGTTAAAGTTTTGGAAGAAAAGGTTTCCCTTGCATCACAAAATAGCAGCAAGGTTGTTCTGTGGCATCTCCTTTAGCCACTCTAGCCCTTTACCACAGCAGGGCACACAGTAACACCTATACCATAACATGCCTTTTGCTGCACGTTCCCGTGCTTTGTACAGCTGTCCAAAAGGCTCAAAAGCTAAACTAAAGTTGAAGCTGTCCTGTGAAGCTTCTCAAAGAGAGAAACACGCTTAATTAGTCCTTACAAACACTGTACCATTTAAGACAGACCACTTGCCAGGCATTGTGGAGTCTGTAAACCTTAGTCTTCCATACTGAAAACCAGCTACGCATTTCCTCTGTACTACTAATAAAAAATAATTACATTTCAGTGTTTGCATGGGAATAGGGGAAAAATACACAAAAGCATGCAAGAAGTCAAGCTGTGTGAAACAGCAGGGACTTTGAGGAGGAGGGGAAGCTTGAAAGCGCCTCAGAACAAAATCTTCCAGTCTCAGAAGGGAAGGGAGAGGGGAGGGCAAGTGCTCCCCAGGCCAGGGTGTGTCTCATTCCCAGACAAAGCAAGACTTTCCTAGCTCTTGCCTAATGGCGAAAGCAGTTACACCGGTATAGCTCTTACTTACAAGACTGGCATTTCTCTGGTGTAAGTTCAGTCTTGTTCCAGATGAAGGGAAAGAAAAAAGTTCACTGCAGAATATGCCACTGTAAGTAACTATGCGCAAATCTTCCATACATTAGAAAGACATTCTCCAGGCAGATTTAGAAAATTTACAGCTACACAACATTTCGTCTCAGCTTTTGCTCTGACATTCAGAGTAACAGGCCTCCTTAAGATTTACCCGCCATTCAGCACACTGAGTATGTGACAGCCACTGATCATTGCTTGGTGCATTTTTCAATCAGCTGCATTGGTGTAGCTGAACAGCTGAGAAGTCTTTTACATTCCTTAAGAGGCAGCCTCATCCATCTCAGGACCTGTCAGTCTACTTATTTACCATCTGCAAAACAACCCACCTCTAAGAAAGGTTAAGAGAAGCAGTCTTAATGGGGTTCTGCGAAACTAGGGTTCAACCCCAATCAAGCCCCTATTTTACACTTTTCAGCAGGGGCTGTTAGACACACAATCATGAGTTTTCTTTGCAGAAGATGGCCACTGTAGGATACACCTCTGAGAACTATCATATACACTTATCTTTAGCTGTACACAGTATAGGAACATACTTGAGGATATGCGCATCATATCATTATGGATAAATAAGTCAGTAACTGTACAAAAGGCCGCGTTCATTAGTGGTTTCACCAACCATGGTTTGTGAGTCACATTAAGCTGTTTACAGTTGGGCTCCACGCAAGCCTTCCCCGCTACATCTCGGTGGCCTTCTCCACATTACATAGCCTGATCCCCTCAAGGTTTTACACATTGGGCATACTTCTGCCTCAGTGAAAGCTCAGTAAGAAGAAAACACACAAGAAGAAACACAAACCCCAATGGCCACAGCATACTGCTGCTTCAGGACATCTATCACTCACAAACTCCCACTCCCCCCTCCCCGCAAGACTTCTACACATGCTCTCTAGCTCTTCAAACTACGTGTGTAAAACTAAGTATAACCTCTCCTACTCAAGATTACATACAGTACTTCTCTAGATATGCAGAATAGCAAGAAACCACAGCAGAATATTCTGGAGCAGATTCTCATCTATCACGGTGAACAGCTACAGAAGGAGCAGGAGATACACAAGCCAGAATTGGCATGAAAAACTATTTCTCTGCTTAAGCTGCAAAATAAATCCATGACTTCTCCAGGCACAAAAATCAATGACCTCTGTGGAAAAATGCCATTCCAGAACACACATGGATTGCATTCCCTTGGACATGGGGCTCCTTTTTGCACAGAACAGCATCCAGGAGACTGGGGTGTTAGAAACTGCAGCATGATCTTGTCATCTATTCCACTAAAAATCAAGTCAATTTGGTGGTGCTTTGGCTGAGGAAGATACGCAAGACTTGCCCCAACAGCTCTTACATATCTGATTTAAAACCAGGATAAATACAAGACCAGGAAAGCAATACATGAATTTCTGCATCATAAGATTCAGAGAAAGCAAAGTAGCACTTCTTCATTGTGGCATTACACCTGCCAGTAGCTCATCTCTCCCCATTACCTCAAAGCAACAAGTTATAGCTGTTAAAGAGTTCTCTGTTCTTCATCAAAACAAAAGAATTTTGTTAGGGTAGGCTACAGAGAGAGCAAGTCATCAAGTGTCACACCATGGAGCAGCAGGGAGCTCTAATTTTTTTGTTTTCAGAAGTAAGGCAGACAACTAATTCCTAAATCGCTATTTCTTGGAGTGAAATTAAGAGACTGTATCATTCCCTCTGGCATGTAATCCCAGAAGTACAATTAGGCCAGCTCTTACGCTTTTATTATAGTACTTGTAATACTTACTGCTGGCATTCAAAGATACCCCAGCTCCTGATGCTTTGCGCCTGCGTGAAAATTTCAGCTTTGTCAAACAAATACATTTCTGGCCCTCCTGACCTGGTATAACGCTGCAACTGCCCAGCTTCATTTTCCAAAGCAATTCCTTTCAATGGCTCCATTTAAGATGGGTCATTACAGCAGCTAATTATCTAGGGCAGTAGAGACAAAAATCACTATTTCAAACATGAAAAAACAGCTGCTGAAGTAGGGCTGAGCTCGCTCTCTCAAGCACTGTTAACCTACCTGCTCTCTGTTCATAGCTGGTATCACCTGAGAGTCAAGTATCTCCTGCCACTGTCCAACCTGCTGCTACTGACAGCTCTCGGGTGAACCCGGGATGTCTGAAGCCAGCCTGCCTTCCCTCCAGGAAGGTTTAGACTAGCACACACTTACTCAATTCTTGGCTCCCATTGAGCTTCTCTCCTCAGGTAAGAGCAGCTGGTTTGTGCTCCTCCCAGACAGTTCCCAAGCATATTTTTTTTCCGCCCCTTCCCATAGGGCCTAAAACTTGTTACAAGTGCAGAAAGTCAGGCTGACTGTACAGGTTCTGCCACAGGAACATGGAAGTTTTTCCTACTTTATCATCTAACAAACAGAAAATCCCCCAGCATTGCAACAGTTGATTTACTGAGACCACCACCTATCACACAAATCATTAATACTTCTGTTAACTGCAGGCAAGAAAATACCTTTGCAGGAAAGAACGGGATTCTTTTGGCTCCTAAATCATTGATTTTCGCAGATTCAAATGCAAGCATCCTACTGGTAATGTGCTAGCTAAAAAAAAAACTTCTAAAGTTAGTATTTTGCATAGTATTTTAGTAACTAGAGCATCCATCTGTTCTACTACAAGAAAGAGCCTTACAGAAATTATTCTACAATAAAAGGAGCTAAACCTTGGAAAACCACTTGGGGAGGTCAATTTCTGAGAACAGTTATGAGAAATGGAAACATTTGAGCTTCTGTTTAGGGACTTTAACATGTGCCTATGTTATTTCATTAACACTAGCCAGGATATGTAACAAACCAGATATCAGACAATTAAGTCATAGTAAACAAGGACATTAGAATTCTTACTAAGAAATAACAGAATACAGTCCTCAAAGAAGAGGAAAAGATTGCTAAGGAAAACTTTTTCAATCTTACATGATGAAAGACAGACAGACAACTAAGAAGCGGGCCAGTCATTTCTTTCTTCTTTAATATTTTAACTTAGAGTGGAGAAAAGAAAAAAAGAATGAGCAATTTTTACTGTACATTCACATTTCTCCTCCCCCCAGTGCTTTGTTTCTTCTTTCAGGAGGTTCAGAGCCCACTTGCCATCAGGTGGGAAGTTGATTTTCTTATTAGGTCTACATACAAATTGGTGAACATCAGAAGGCATACCTCTGACTTTCCAAGTCTGTTTCTCTACTGTGAGATACAAGCAGCTCTCGTGAGCCCCTGGGCAATGTTTTGAAGTCTAAAAGAGACCAGTGAACCCACTGCTGGAACATAATCAATAGAGGAATTCTGACACTCTTAAGGATGGTATTTTAGGGGGAAGATTTTTCACATCAATTGTTTATTCCAAAACAATTATTTTAATCTTAATGTTTTAATTATATATTTTAAAATTCAGTGTTAACAAACCCAGATAATAAACCATGTTTCAGCCAGGTTCTTTGTTTTGTGCCCCTTCTGCTCAGATATTTTAGCAAGTCTGAACCCTACGACAGTTATTGATGTATTTATCTGAAACAGTGTCAATCGTGTTAAAGGTGATACTTCTAAGTCTGTATGTTTTGCTCGACATTTCAATCTTTTACACTGAAAAGCCAGTAAAACTTCAGGCAAGCATGCCTCTCAACCAAGTAGACAGGATAATTCCTTCTCCAGGAAATAACTGTTAAATACTTGCTTCTCATCTTTACATTTTTATTTTGAGATGACAGTGAGAAGAATCTAAAGCACTGAAATGTAATCTGCTCTTCAGTCTATACAATTCCACGTTCTTAGATTCTCATCTCACCCTTGCTACACAAGATAAGAGCATTGGTTGTTTCTGTTTTTATTTTAAAAGAGTTTTTAATCAATTTGAAGACTTTGAAGTTCTACATCACCTTTAAGCATAAATAGTGTCTTTTTAAAAATACGATTCACTACCATCCACCTGCAGGTTCTTGCGAAGACATCTACAGATTCTAGCAAAAAGGTCGCTTGTATTGCCACGAACTATCACGCCTGTTTTCCTGAAAGAGAGAGAAAATACTCCGTAGCCAACTAATTATATCAAGGCATGAAATTCAAAAACCATTTGTTAAAAAAAAAATATTTCTTCAGTGAATTTTAATTTCTTCTAGTGTTGTTAACGATTCCTAGAAGATTGCCACAGATTGCCTTAAGTTATCAGTGGTGTATTGCATTTTTATTTGCCAATCTCGTTGTGTAACTGCTCTTGATTTTATGATCAGACACCTTCCTGTTCTAGTAGCTTCCTAAGGAAAAAAAGACACATACAACAGTTTTGGGAAAAGTTTAAGCATAAGTCTATTGACAGTCAAATACATGCTGGGAAACTAGTTCTAAGGAAGAGCTTTGGGCATTCCATTAATTGACCGAGATTGACTCAGAAGTCTCCACTAATTGTCTCAAAACTTTCAAGAAAGCAGCTTTTTTTTTTCTTCTTTTCCCCTACCCTGCTTTTTTTTTTTCTTAAAAAAAAATGGTGGCAAGGTAGAGAAGAGGGAATGCTTACATAGATGTTGTAGATTAACAAATAAGTTTGTTTTGGAGGAAGTAGGCTGCCTAGGATGCCTGAAACTGCTAAGGCATTTGAACCAATTTTACAGTATCAAGCTCTTTACAACTGCAGCACATGAAAGGGCAGTTGCTAACTTACAACATGCTGCAACATAACTGGCAAGCAGTATTTGCACACCACTGAAGAGTAACCGTATGATATAAAACCAAGATTGATATAATTCTTTACAATAGTTGTAAAGAAAGTGCAGTACTGAGTCATCTTAAGTTATTCCTATGGCCTTACCTGTCACTGGGATGAAGTAGATGACTGTGGAACAGCACCTCCCAGGACAATACTGTTTTTGTCAGTTAGGGTTTTAAGCACAGTTGTGGCTGGTGACTGTAGAATTTTACGTGAAAGCCTCATTCTACCATCAGTCGGATCACGTCCAAAGTATTTAACCTGTTAAGAAAACAAACCACTTCAAGACTGACCAACTTAAAGAGCTGGAAATAGCATTTTCCTTAAAAGGTGGTGTTTTGCTTTGTGGGTGCCCCCCCCCCAATTTGATGCTAGAAAAGCCATAAATAATAGGCACCGTTTAACCTATTATTGCTCTGCCAAATTAATATGGT